AAAAAAAAAACAAAAAAAAAAGGGGAAATTACGCGGGAGTCGGAAAAGGACTTTGAAAATACACTTTGGGCACACACCAGATTCCCAAATTGCACTTCGGGCAATGTATACAAGCTAGCTTTCCGGTCAGGTAGGGGGGTTGCGTGGGGGGGTGTTGTGTTTGGGGGGAATGGTCGAAGTGTAATTTCACACTTTTGTTTTCGTGAATGCGTGCGCTGCGGTGCGCCGTGCTCGCCGCCTGACTGCTCGCTACTACATGCATTTCTTTCTTTCTTTTTCCTTTTTTYTTCTTTTTTTGTTTAGTAACCGTATTAAGGGGTGGCCGCCTGCGGCGCACTTAGTGCCAACGAACTGGGATAGTCCTCTGGATACTCCTGATCGGTATTAGTGGAATCTATGACCAACATGGGTGTGAGTGCGAGCGCGAGTGGGTTGTGTGTGGTGTGTGCGAGAGTGTTGGCCATAGCCACTGCTGCTACTCGATAAGGGGTGGGGGACGAAGAGAAAAGGAGGCGCAGCTACTGGCAGGTCTCGGTCTTTGTGTTAGCCAGACCCCAACTGGCAGCCCCAACCCTATACCCTAACGATTAGGGGCAAGGGGCAACATGAAATCTCCCCTTCACAGTGAGAGGAAACTATGCTTGCAGGGGTCCCCTCTAGATAGCCTTAGGAGTAGGTAGTGAAAGGTAAAGAAACAGAAGTTGAGAGAAGAATATAGAAAGAAAGAGAGGAAATTTTTTTTTTTTTAAATCAAAGGAGTAAAAAAATAATATTAAAAATAAATAAATGAATAAAAATTTCAAAGTAGTGGTAGGTGGGTAGTGTGGGTGAAATTACGAGAAGAATGTAGCTTACTTTACTTTAAAAAAAAAAAAAAAAAAAAAAAAAAAAAAAAAAAAGGGAGGGGGATTGAAGAGAAAGGTAGGTTCCAACATTGTTCTTGCGCGAAGATGGCAGCTCAACACGATGCCGTGGTCCCCTTCGCTCGCTACAACAAGCATGTACTGTCGGGACCTGGAATCACCGAGAGCACACGCCCTCCATTGACTGCATCTTCTGCTGGGCAATTGGGTGCAAGAGAGAGCGCTGCAGAAGAAGACAGGAGTGTCGAGGTACACACCATGGGCGCTTCCACGGCAGACTACGAATGGCGTTTACGCGAAGAAGGTATTAATACTAGAGCCAGAGGACACCAGAGGACGAGTGATGGGGTTCAACATATATAAGAAGGGAGATGTCGTAGCGCCAGATCATTTCTTGACAACGAACAGGGCACATTTCACACCCCCACCGATCAGTGCATACTACTCGGACGAAGAGGAGGAACGAGAAGTGGCGGAGAAGAAGAGAAGGGAGAGGTGGGAGAGGAGACAGAAGGAGGAGGAGGAGGAGGAGGAGGAGAAGGGGGAGGAGGGGGAGGAGGGAAGAACGAAAGTGGGGGAGGGAAGAAAGAAGGAGGGGGAGGGGAGAAAGAAGAAGGAGAGGGAGGAGGCGGCAATCTGTCGCTGCTATAACAATAAGGCGAAGGAGAATAAGGAGAGAGAAGAGGAGGTGGTACAGGAGGAGGAGAAGAAGGAGGAGGAGGAGGAGAAAGCAGGTAGCCAGATCATGGCTGAGAGCAGAAAGAACAGAGAGGAAGAAAGAAACGAAGAGGAGGAAGAAGAAAAAGAAGAGAAAGAAACGGACGGCGATGATCATCATCGTCATCCACAGTCTCCGACATCGCCATACTCCTGTGTTTTTCCTCGCGCTGTTGGACTAGAAGATGGCAACACTTACGATGATGCCATTACCGTTTACAGTACAGGACGACCGGGGCAGTTCTACCGGTCGTCCAGGCAACGACCAGGGATCTTTCGGAAGTCCTGCCACTTCAGCAAACCACTCTCTGATTACTCCAAAGTGCTCATTAACGAATAACGCACCATCAAGCAGATTCACCTCTCTCCCTCTCTCTCCCTCTCTCTCTCTCTCTCTCTCTCTCGCTCGCTCGCTCGCTCGTTCGCGCGCACACCTCTCTCGGTCTCTCTCTCTCTCTCTCTCTCCCTCGCTCGCTCGCTCGCTCGACTTGCTTCGCTCGCACACACACACACACCCCTCTCTCTCTCTCTCTCTTCAAAGGCGCGAAGCACCCGCGCGCACACACACACACACTTCGCGCGCGTGCGCACACACACACACTTTGTGCGCGCGCGCACACACACACAGTCCGACGAAACAGTGTGGCACAGTCCTTGCTTTTTTTTAGTGTATAGCGAATATGACAACACGTACACATGCACATACGCAGTCTAAATAAACTGCTTTTTTTTTTTTTTGGGGGGGGGGGGGACAACCAACTTAGCAATTTATTACAAAAAGGGGAGGCCGAAAACCCCTCCACAAATAACTCGGAAAACAAGCTTCTGGGACCTTCACCCAGCATTCGCACAGGAGTTGGGAGAATGTCCAGATCAGAAATGGCCAAATCTTAGACCGCTGGCCAACCCTGGAGAAAACAAAGAAACCATCACCGACTGGAAAACCTGATTGACTTACCGTGAGGGCACGGGTGCGCAGCCCGTAGTTCGTTTGCTTATGTGGTTCGGGAAGGGTAAGGTAGTGATTATGTTGTATGTATGTTTTGTCATGTTCGCTATGCACAACTAGAAGAGAGTGTGTGTGTGGGGTCCCAGTTGGTGCTTTATTCACGATGTTCATGGGACGCTGGACCCAGTTTCCAGGAGGTGGCGCTCCCCATCAATAGACACAAGAATGTATGTGCTTGTGTCTGTGTGTCTGTGTGTATGTGTGTGTGTGAGAGAGAGAGAGAGAGTGCGAGTGCGAGTGCGTGTGTGTGTGTGCGTGCGTGTGTGTGTGTGTGTGTGTGTGTGTGTGTGTGTGTGTGAGAGAGAGAGAGAG